AAAAAAAAAAAGGCTGCACTTACCAACATGACGAAACACCAAATGCGACTCCAGAAGCAAATGAAGAAGTGACAATCCAATAACGCGCTGAAATGACGGAACGATACTATAAAAAAAACCCCGTTAGTAAAAAAAAAAAAAAAAAAAAAAAAAGCCAATTAAAAAAAAAGCTATACTTATCTGTTTATATAATGTCGATCTGTGTAATAGGGGGGTAGTGATATATCGCATATACGAAAAAAGATAAAATTCTAATTTTAATAAATTTATAATTTAGAATTAAAAGTTTATTTTTAATAACTTTATTTATAACTTTTAATAAAATTTATTTAAATTATTATTAAAATCTAAAAAACTTATATAAACTATTAAAAAATAGTAATATTTTTTTTAAATATTATTAGTAAGATTATATCTCTAACTTTATTAAAATTTAATTAAATTTTTTTATAAAAAAAGAATTATATTTAAACTTTATATTCTAAGATAACAAAAAACTCAAACTAGTTTATCTGCAATTTAAACCAAAAATAGTAATAATTTTTAACTAATAATTTATAAATTTTTATAGTAAAAGTAATATTTTTATAACATAATTAAGTTACTGCTATTTATACTATGATTTTTGCTTTTTATACTATTAGTTTAACCAGAATTAGTTAGAGTTAGAGTATAATTTTAGTCAAATAAATAGTACAAATAGCAAAAATTGTGATGCGAATAGTAATTCTCTATAATTAATAATAAAAATTTAAATATACAGTAATAAGCAATAAATATTTTTTATATAATTAAAATTTAAATTTACAAATTTTATTAAAAAAATTTTAAATAAAATTAATATAAATAGTGTATTATATGTAGTATACTAAGGTTTGTTGTTGTAGTCTTGACTGATTCTTTAAGTTAAAGTATTGTAGAATTCAGGGCTATTTTGTTGAGCTGTCTTTGTTGGCTTTTCCTTTGCTGCTGGAGTCTCTTGCTTCAATCTACTTCTAATTTCACCTTTAATTCAGCATATTGTTTTTCTCTTTCTACTAATACTCTTCTAATTCCTTTGGCTATTTTTAATTCTACTATGTAACCAACTATTTCTTCTATTATAATACAATTAACTAGGTCTTTTTCTCTTTGAATTGCTTTATGAAAGGTCCTGTGTTCTCTTTCTATAAGTACAAGCTTTGTATATTTTAATTTTTCTATGTTATAGTACTATAATTTCTCATAGAGCTCTACTATTCATTCATCAGCTATTTCTTTTGAAATAAGCTCTTGCTTAGCATACTCAGCCATTTCTTTTTCTATTGTTATGTTTGTTAATTTGTCAAATATTGTTTCTTTAAAGCCCTGAATATCTGCTATTGGCATATCAGAATTAACATAACCTTGTCTATATATTTCTATATCTTCACATATTTTTTTTGATTTCATCTTGCTAATTCTGCTATGACAGGTTTCTTCCTGAACTTTCTGTTGTTTTTTTTTTTTTATGTGACTTGTTGTTTTCTGACTTATGTTGTTTGTTGTTGTTGTTTGTTGTGGTTGTTTGCCATTTTTGTTTACTTTCGTCACATGGTTTTTGTTGTATTTCTTTTGTTTATTTTCTATTACATGTTGTGATTCTTGTATTACCAAAACAGATCTGCAATTCAGGGTCAAGGCCAATTCCTCCAAAGTTCGCAAAGTGCAAAAAAATATTGACAATTTTTCATGATTGTTTTATTTCTTTGCCGCTTCTGTTTTTCTTACTCAAGTCTTTTAAGAGACTGAGTGTTTCTTGTTGTCTTCTTCCTTTTTACTTAGGAGCTTGAGATTAGTTTTTTAGTGACTTTTGTGTGTTTCTTAAGTTTATTGTTAATTTTGGTTTTTAGAAATTTTGTGTTTTGATGATCAGTAGAAAGAGTTGATCATTTAAATGACAGTGGTATAATTTAGTAAAACTGAAAAATTATTTAGATAAATATTTTTTTAATTTTTAAACTATTTTTTTAACTATACTACCAGTATTACAAAAACCTAAATCCTATCCATTAATTAATCAAAATATTTTTATATAACTACTATATAATATACTATCTAATAATAAATATATAAGTATAAACCTCATCATAAAAATTAAAAAATAATAACAAATATATAAAATATATAATAATATATAAAAAATAACTATAAATAACCGGGGGAAAAATCCCCATGTTTTTTGGTTAAGGTGCAATTTGAGACCAAGACAGGGGTTAGATATAATAGCCCAAATTGATATTACACAAAGTTTTGAAACGTTCTGAACATTTTTACTTAGTGCATCTGACCCAGTCCCGTTTTTGAGATATTGCACCCAGGTTATTTTCCCTCGGGTTATAAATAGCAATTCTCTAATATATAACTAATATATCTGATTTTTTAGCATCTAGTTAAATGTTAGTTATTAATCTAAACATTGTAAGAATAGATTAAATTCTTTGTTCGTGTTCATTTTCTATTTTATGGGTTAATTAAATTTTTTATATATGTTTTTATGTGTTCAAATTGTCACAATCGAGAAAGATGTGTTTGATGCCTACCTCAGGCAAAACTGAAATTAATGTGGATAAAGTATTTACGAAATAACGGCATGGAACGTTATAATTTCCAGGGCTAAAAATTAATTTTGACGAGTTGACGAATACAAACAATAATTTTGATTTAAAAATGGGACCATTGCTTTGAAAATGACCTTATGGGACATAGTAATTACTATGTTCCATAAGGTCATTTTCAAAGCAAAAACCCAATTGTCAAAATTAATTCTTAGCTTTCTGAAAATTATTTATCATAAAAAGACACATTGTTGGTAGCTCTCTCACAAAAAATTTCCCCCTCGTAATTTTTATCCAATTAGATTGAAAGTTCATATGTAACTTCTTTATGGTTAGGATTAAGTCACGGGCTAACAGTATTTAAGTAAAAGTAGTGTAACAGTCAGATCATGGAACAGGTCTATTCATTCAAAACGATCCTCAGTCACGTGATTACTCAAAAATTAAAGGAAGATATTGTATTATCATCCTTTGAATACGACTATAGAGATGTAAATATTTGAAATTGCCCTTGAGGCCGTGAATTGTTAGGTCATTCCTAAGAGATCTTTGTAGAAACGTAATGGCCACGGTATTAAAACTTTTTAAACATTTGAATAGAATTATCTCAGATCTAGAATTAGAAGGTGACGGATATTTCTTGAGATATCCTTTTTTAATTTTTAAAAAAATTAGGCAAATACGAGTCGTGTAACCTCGTGATGTCTAAATTATGAATTTTTTTATATCTGATACCGAAATACATTCGGACTTTGCCCTGAAGCTGCCTTCTGCGTATTAACAAGGAGTTTTCTTTAAAGTTTTGGTAGGATAATAAACGAAATTTAATTTAGCGGCAAAAACACGAACAATCCTAACCTAATGGCATTGGTTGTAAATAAACGCATGATATTTGGAGAATAATTTCTCAAACTTAATTCTCATTTATATATTCATCAGTGTTTTTTTTATTTGGCAAATAGTACTCCATCTTGAATTACAGGTTCTGCATGCCAAACCAAATTCGTACATATCTTGCAGCAATGAATAAATTTATAGCGATAAAGGCTTCAAGTAACGCGTAGACTATCACTTAGATGATGAGTCCTCGTTGCGTTAGATTTTTCGTTATTAAGAATGTGATAGCAATGAGTACAAAGTAATTTATATAGACCATTTTAATTATTATCATAAAAACATGCCTTATTTCGAGTTTTACTGTATATACAAAATTAGATACTCTACTTAATTTTTAATATCTCTTTGTATTCTCGTCCTATCAATTGCCCACAATGAACTAAAATATTAGGCAAACAATATTTAATGCATAACAATTTTATCATTAAAAGTTAGGATTGGGTTAGAAACTATAGTAAAAATAGAGGTTAAAAGTAGTGTTAAGAAAAGATGCTGACCATTTTTTGCTATAAGTTACTTGGAGTATCAGACGCAATTTGCTACAATTTGCCAATTCTTGAGCTAAAGCAACTGTGGTGTTAAACACCACTTTGTATATTATTAGGTGCGAAATTTTAAAAACACAACATATTATGCTTGTAATATATAACTACATCAGGTATTCTTATTATCTAGGACGTCCCAACAATTTAACATCAACTAATCTATTTAAGCCATCATCACCTCTCAATCCATCCAATAAAACCAATGCTTCTGCTGTACTATGTTGCATTTCTCTCATCTCGATCTCATTGATTAAAAATCTACGACGACACAGTCTTGCTTTGTTATCATTGATCCAATCCTTACCATACTTTTTGATCAATGTTGTAATTGGTGGATTACCGTCCAAACCGAAATACCACTCTGCATAAACATGATGAACTGATGGTAAAGTACCAAGAACCGGAAGTAAGTAATAAGGTTTTTTTTTATTGGCTCGTTCTACAGCAATGGAAACTGCTTCACTGAAGGTAATCCATTCAGCTTGGGGATGGACACTAGTAGGAAGTATTAGAGGTATTAAAGGAGGTGGTTCATAAATTGTTTCATTACGTGAATGTCTTCTATATTTTCTGGTGTTTTTCTTCTGAAAAAATCAATTGTTTATAGAATTAATACATGTATAAAAGATCCTTTTACAAAATTGTTCTAAAAACGAACCATGATGATCAAAAGGACGTGCTATACGGATAAGGTTTATTAAATATTCTATTTATATTAATGGTTTTACTTATCTACATTTAAGCTTCACGTCATTAAATCATTAACTATTTCTGACTTCATTTAGCAGGTGACAAAATTTGATTCTTGTTTAATTATCTCTATTCTTCGAATTGAAAGATTAAATTATTTTACATTTTATATAATAATAATACAGTAATTTATTCCAGACAGTTCACGTTAATTGCAGACAAACTTGTAAGCAAAACATACAAGAGACAAAAATCTCTTTGTTTTATTTAGAAAATGTATTTTCTTATCACGTCATTCGTTTCGAACATTTCCGAGGTCATGTGTTACATAGTTGTTATGTTGGGAATTAATTGCTAAAATTTATATATTTTTATACCTTAAAGAAATTTTTATTAAAAATACAATATTGGATAAAAATCGGCGTTATCCGACAATTCATGGTCCCATTTCTCTCCTATCTAATTATATAAGAAATAGGTCAAAGAATTTTTATTTAATAAAAAAAATTTTTGACACTATTTTAAAAATATATAACTCGTAACGCCAAAAGTTTTACTAATTATTATTTTTTTTTAATTCGGCGTTGGAAAATTACTATTCGCCATCCTGCCTCTGTTTATTTGAGATTAAGCCAATCTAACTAAACAAAGACTCACCCCAGGTGTTGATCTGTCTCAGTAGCTTTTGGCCTCCCTCCGGGTCCTTAACTTACTAAGGATTTAAATCCTTTGGTCACTGGCTGGTAGTTACACTACCTGAACCTAGTCTAACAAAAAGATCTAAGCTATGGGTTAAAAAAAAATACAACAAATAAAAGAAAATATATGCACTAAAACCCATGCACAAGGTTTAAAAATTATATACAACATAATTATGAAATTATTATATATTTTCTTATTATCATTTTAGTCACCTTTTTTTTTAAATCCATTGTGTTTAAAACATCAAACAAAAAGCTTCATGTTATCCTATTACTAAATCCTGGGTATTTCTCTTATATAATTATATTCAGAAAATATTTTTTTTTTACTAAACAAGATTAAACAGAAATCTTTTCTATAGTCTACTAGTTATTATTAGAAGTTACTTTTCAAGTCTATCACAAAGAGTCTTTATTTTTAACAGAATATATCTAGATCAAACTAGGCTCATTTTTGATTTATTCTGATCTTATCTCCATAATTTGATTTGGTTTTACATATTTGTTGTGTTTTTTATTTATTATATTATATCCTAAATCTTTTCTGATATAGAAGTAATAAATATTGTTAATCTTTTAATAAAGATAAATCAAATATTATTTTTTATTAAAAATTTTGATAAAAGAAATGGCAAAAGGTATTGTTGTGTTTTGTTACAAAATACTAACTAAAGAGAGTATTTTTGTATTGTGTTTTATTACAAGATACTAACTAGAAAGAGTATTTTTATATTATTTGTTGTCTTCTCTACTTGCTTTTTTGTATATTTATTGTTCTTAGAGATTTTTTAGTTTAAATATCAATTACAAAAGGAAGTTTA